AGAAAATGTGAAAGAAGAGATGTCTTGTTTTGGTATCATTGTAGGTCTCTTTCCTTTGCATGACCTGATGAAGGTTTTTTCAGGTGTTCTGCATGCTTCGTAAACCTCTCTTATTTGTGCGTAATTTGGGCAATTGATTCAGTTTACAATGGTAAACTTTTCTGTTGCACACTGATACTAAATGAAAATATTCCCTTGTGCTCACTCATCAAGGGGATGAGTAATGTTGTGATGCTTGATGTTTTTGTTTTTGTTTCTTCTTTACAGAGATAAAGATTACCATTTAAGGACCTACAAATCTGTGGTCATGGCCAACAAACTGATAGACTGGCTAATCGCACAGGTAAATTACACAAACAGAAGTTGCTGAGTTTCATTCACTGCTGCTTTAAACTTTGAGCATGTGAATTAGGTACTTTTTAAAAATTATTATCTGCCTGCAAATGAGGCAAAGTGAAGTAAGTAAACTTGATAAAATTCAAACCGTATGAAGCAGAATTAGGATTTGAGCCTAGATAATCTGACTTCGGAGTTCTCAAATTTAGCTTTTATGCTATTTTGTCTTTCAAAAGGAAGATGTTCCTATTTTAAAAACATTGCCTGAGATCTATCAAAAAGCACTAAGCTCATTTGAGTATCCCTGAAGAATAGCTATGCTCACATACTAAAATTTTTGTATGTTTTTTCACTAATTAATTTTTTAAAAGTCTATGTTTATTAGTCCTAACAGGTTATTATGATGTCCTTGTGCTTTTTTCTCTGTTAGAAAATAATTGTGCTTAAGCTTTAATATCTACCTGCACACATTTAAAATAGGAAAGTACATAATTTATTGTTATTGTCCTGCTTCTCAGGATTTGGATGCTGACAGCTGGAAGTGAGAAAATATTATTTGCTTATAAGTAAAACAAATGAGGGCATCTAGCCCATCATAGTAGATATTCGAACATAAATTTATTTAAATGTTTTTTCATACTAGATCAACTAATAAATGATCAAATGTTTTTCACTGATTAAAGAAAAGATTAAGAAAACTGATCTAATTTAACTTAACTTACTATTTTGAGGAAGGGGATATCTCTCATTGACATGAAAGTCATTATGTTTGACTATTTGAGTCTGTTTCATAAGCAGTTCTACTTTTTTGTTCTTAAAGAAAGTGGCTTGCTTTCTTTGTTGCAAGTAGATAACA